GGATTTTTGTAGATTTTCGCCTAAGATTAATAGGAAGTGAAGGTCTGTTTTATATGTTGGCAACGATTAAAAGGTTACTATTTTAATTCTCGTGGCTACATTATTTGCTGTTTTAGTCGCCAGCCAGTGCTTTGCTTTTGCACTGCTTTGTGCTTTGGCTTCATTGTAGAGTAGCAGTTCAGTGCAGCACGTGTTAGATTCACTAGTGATAAACATTGATTTTATTAATTTTAGTACTAATATTAATAAAACATTATACTTTTAAAAACAAATAATCTCTAGTATATTTAATTATCAAAAAAAACAAATATTCTCTAGTATATTTAATTATCAAAAAACGAATATTCTCTAGTATATTTAATTATCAATATGTTATTAGTTCTATGTTATTTTACCTCTTAAATATTGTTCAGATAAAATTGTGACATAATTTGAGTAAAGGGGTCTTGGACAGGACGGTTTAAACCATGGATTAATCCATTCTGTCCTAAACCTGGCCAACCCTGGTTCGAATGTTTATAATAATGTTCGAATTTTGATTTTTTGTAAAGTTTACAGAGGAAGACCCTTCTTGTGCGATTTTAAAAAACTCAGCTAAAAAAAAAGGAGCTCGCTTTGATATGGCGTGAGCGACCGGTTAGGTTCACAACTTTGTAGTATCTGACCAAACATGTGCTACCTTTTCGTAAAAGACACCTGGCAAAAAAGTTGCTCTTTCCCCTAGATTGCAACGAGAATGGGTTTTGCATGAAAACTTGCTTTATTAAAAGTATTTTGTGAAACTGCCGTTTTTCCTGAAGTTGAATTAGTGAAGGTACCACTAACGCTAGTCAATTTACCCTGGCCAGATGCCTGATAATTATCTTTAATCATTTTCATGTCAAACCCATCAATCTTTATAGAATTACTGTTAAAAATTTCAACGCAGAAAATCATATTTAATAATAAATATTGAATTATTATAAGTAAAAATAGGAAAAATTGCAAATTATCCAATTTAACTAGAAAAATGTAGAAATTTTAAATTATGATCTTTTAAGCACAAAGTGCTGCCACTGAAAAATACAGTCTAATAAAAAAATTCTTATAAAAAAGAAAAAAAAAACTGATGCCACTTTTTCAAAATTTTGAATCAGCTTCAGAGTAAATTTATTTCGGTATTTCCAATAATATATAGGAAGGTGAGCATAAAGTGTACATATTTTATGATATCCAGAATATTCTACTTTTGGGGATATTTCCGTTTAGCAATTAAAAAAAAAAAAAAACATGTAGAAGATTCAGTGATGTTTTTTTAGTTTCTCATAGGCCACTGCCCGTAATTTGCCAAGACTGGCGATTATTCTACCCAGAATTTTTGCCAGGACAGTGGCAAAAACCTGGTAAAAATTTAATTATTTAAATTGCTGATCAAATATTATTACAAACAAATTTAAATCAATCATAAGGAATAATAATTTTGATAAAATGACACGAGAAAATTATTTTTAAAATATTAATAATTAATATAAGGGCAATAAGTAAAAGATCTTACAAAACAACTAGAACCAGTTTCAAATGCCTTGAAGATTCTACGGGTCAATTCAACAACAATAGCAGATGCTTGCCATATTTGGCGTAAATTGTTAGAAGATGACAATCTACAGCCTTACAAAATACAAGTAAAAAAAAGATTATTGCAATTAATTTTACCTTGCTTATTTATTACACCTAATATAAAGGGCAGCTTCTCAGCAATGTACAGAAAGAGAAGACCAGAGAATTTCTTGCAGGAATAAATCCATCATTTGTTTCATATGCTTTGAATTTTGAATAACAAGAAAAACCATTCCCTAACACGATCTCTGAGTAAGTTATAGCCACTATTGATGCTAGTAAATGGTGGCGGAGTGTGCAAAATTCTTATGAAATGTCCAGAGAATTTTGTGAAATAATGTCTCATTTACACTCATGTCCTTCTACTAGTGCTACCATTGAAAGAGTGTTTTCAAAATTTTCATTTGTACATTCTAAAATTCGGTATAGGTTGACTGTAAATAATGCTTCAAAACTAGTGTCCTGTTATGCAATGTTGAGACAGCACAAACTGTATTGTGATGATGAATAAAGTATTGAATTTGTGCAAATTTAAAAAATTGCAATGATACTTGTATATTTAAATTAACTACACATGATGATTGACATTTATGCTTTAAATTATAGTTATAGGTATTAATTTAAAATAAGTTCATTTCATTGGAAAAAAAAGAATAATCACTAATTTTCCGATCAATAATGTTTTAAACTACTAAAATGATATATTAATACATTATGATTCAATTATGGAATAATAATTCTGTTAATTTGTTATTAATTATATATATTTATAGCATATATTTCAATTTTAAGAATAATTTAGTATCAAAAATGTGTTTTTGCCACTTTGCTTGGCGAAAATCTGCTTTTGCCACAACGGTTATTACTACCTGCAGCAAAATCTTGCCAACCCTGATTCTACCACAGATCTCCCTCTCTATTCTACAAAGAACACAGCTTTTTAGTTTAGTTTTTCGAATTTGACAAATAAATGTACTTCTGCTCAAATAATAAATAAGTTTTTAAACATAAAAATTAAGTAAATATAAAAATTATTTCAGGAGGATCATAGCAAATCTATTTAATTAACTATTGGTAAATTTGATTTTATCAAATCCTTTTTAAGAAGTTTTTCTAGGGGTAATGAATTAAGCATTTATAATGATCAAGAACACTAAATTATATTTATTAAATAAAGAAGAAAAAGAGTGACTTCTTACTTTTGTAATTTAATTTGGCAAAACGGAAATATGACCTCTCCCACAAATCTAAGTCCACTGGAACCTGAGCATGTTACTAAAGCGATATTTAAAAAAAAAAAACATAAATACATTTAGTTAAAGAAAAGCAGAAAACACCGCTACTAAATGGTCCTATAATCTTCTACTTCGAACACATTAAAATACGTTATATAAATAAATTCTGACAATAACACAATAATTCCACATTTGTTATTTGTTACAACCGCCAAAAGCACAAATGATTAAAAAAATTTGAACAACTTACTTATCTTCCAGCTTTCATGGAGTCTTCTCTCTCGATTTTTGTAGATTTTCGCCTAAGATTAATGGGAAGTGAAGGTCTGTTTTATATGTTGGCAACGATTAAAAGGTTACTATTTTAATTCTCGTGGCTACATTATTTGCTGTTTTAGTCGCCAGCCAGTGCTTTGCTTTTGCGCTGCTTTGTGCTTTGGCTTCATTGTAGAGTAGCAGTTCAGTGCAGCACGTGTTAGATTCACTAGTGATAAATATTGATTTTATTAATTTTAGTTCTTAATTCTTCANTTTTTTTCATTTAGGTGGTTAAGGCTTCAGTAATCCAGGATTAAAAGTTGAATTATTTGAAACCCCATCTTCCTGATGTAATTCTGGGTCGCAATGTGCAGCTTCAAAACTTTCCAGGATTTAAAATTAAATGTTCAATGGAGAAAATAAAAGAGTTTAGTAGATTTGGTGTGACTGTTCTACATATTGGTAAGTACCTTGTCTAATTTCACATAAATTGGCTGTGCCGTTATCCTTCTAGATAATAGATCTCAGTGGTTATTTAATAGAAGGGTTTTCTATGAATAAAAAGAATTTTGTTTTTTAGTTGTTATATCTTAAATAAATTATGAGAAGGTTCTTGAGAATATATGTATTTTCTGTTACGCTTTTCAAATTGAAATAGGATAGCTAAATTTGTTAAGAAAGAATGTGATTTTCTAACAATCTTTTCAATGTTTATACCTTTTTAGCTCCCGTTTCAATGGGAACCATATTTCTCCCTGTTCATTTAATTCTCAGCTTTTGTATATATACCAAAAACTTCACGAATGTGCATTCAACTGCCAAACACAAATTCCGATTTGTAATTATTAATGAATCAAAATAATTTCATTCCTTTTATTTTATGTTTTCAGAATATAATATTCTTTAATTTGTTAATAAACTCCCTATTGTCTTTAGATATTATGTTTATAATGTTGGGGTTTTTTTTTCTCCTATATTTATAAAGACACGAAACTGCTGTAGTAGAAGCAGTTTTTCATAATCGTTTTAAATATTTTGTAAGTGTTTAACATTAATTTCAGGTTCTATCGATTGCTCTGTGGATGGTAGAGCCAATATAACAGTTTGAAAGATTAAGAAATTTTGTTGAACAATCCTAGAAGGGTATAGTATAAAGAAAATGTTCATTAATATTTTTGCATTTTAATTCTTGTATTAGAAGATTTATAAATGGTGTTCTTTTGTATAGTGTCATGGCCATTTTAACCAACAATTAGTGCCTAAGGATTTTATAAAATCCATAACATTCTTTACTTTTTTTAATAAATTTGAACAAGTGTGCCATTCATGATTAAGAATTTTATAAAACCAAGTAATGTAAGGCATAAGATATTTATAGAATGTAAACCTTTCTTCCCTTCAAGTTAAGGATAAAAAAAAAATTCAAAGATTTAAGTGATTAA